GTTGGAACAAGGTGGAGAACCCTTGCTCAAGCTTGGTCCCTAATCATTCATCGCTGTTGTGATATGAGCTGCATCTGCTTCCTTCGGATCCCTAGCTGAATTCCATTTGGCACACAGAGAAGTGTTTAGGCTCCCATCCTGCTTGTATTTCTCTTTAAAGTTCACAGGATCCTCATATACCAGGGATGGTAGAGTCAGATTGGCTTCAGTTCCTGCCTCTGTGTTGCTCTGGTTTTTGCTGGCAGTGAGCTACCTTTTGTCCAAAGTAGGGATGTTTGTTGGATCTCCATAATCATCCATAGCAGGCACGTCTCCACTCTTCACTGTAGGAGTTGTTGTTATGTCATAGGTGACATTAGTCAGTGTCACCTTCATATCTTGTAGGTCGATCACCGCTCTAGCTGTTTTCAGGAAGGGCATCCCAAGGATGATGGGTGAGTTCTTGTCCGCTTCCATCATCACCACCACAAATTTAGTGGCAATCAGTGTATCTCAAATCCTTGGGGGGTAGCTCTCAAGCATGCCAAGGGAGTCTACTGAGGATGAGTCTGCCATGGTGATTGAGCACACCCGTTTCTTTATCTACTTTATCCCCAATCTTCTCACCATGGTGATGGAGATCAATTTAATACTGAAACCTGTGTCACACAACCCATTTTCATGAAACATTCCCAGGGAGCAAGGAATGATGAACCTCCCTGGGTTGGTCTTTTTAGGTAGTGTCCTCAGCGTAGACACTTTCTTCTTCATATCTTAATGATTCTCTATCTTGAGCTTTTTCTGATAGTTTAAGATTGTATCCATGAATCTCCTTTCTATTGTGTCTTTAGATGAAACATCTTTCTAATGGAGCCGTATTAGGATCTCATTCATCATCTTTCGACCTCAGGGAATGCTTACCCAAAGCTTGTCTGCTTGGTAGTCAAAACAGAACTGTTAGTAGAACTTCCTTCATTCTTTGCAGCAGACAGAACCTCATATATATCCATTTCGGCATAAGATTCTCAGAGGTCACTCTATGCTCTCTTCTGTATATTGATCCTTAGAGAAGGTGACATTGCATGTCTCCTTAGGATTATCTTCATACTTGCCATGGATTCTTTGAGACGAGGAGGCAACCTGAGGAACACGATTGTCCAACGACTTGAGTTGAGAATTCAAGCTCTCAAACTTGGTCTGGAGATCAATGTATCCTCCATCCACATTGTTTTTTTAGTTCCAAGACCCTCTTGTTGATCTCTTGGTGAGTTTTGGATTGACCATCCATTATCTGATGTAGAAGTTCCGTAAGATCAAAGCCGGTTGGGACTAGAGGTGCAGGCGCAGCATGCTGCTGGTTGATACCCTGTTATGGCCGAAATCCTAAATATGTATTAGGTGCAAGTTGAGCTCTTGGTTGGTATCCCTGAAGATTAAAATTCTGTTGCTGTCCCTGAGGGTAGTTGTTATATGGCCTAGCTTGGAATC